CATACTACCTGCTTCTGTATCTCACAAAAACCCTAGTGCCGATGTCCCTTCAGCTTTTACCTGTTTAGCTTTTCTACTCTTGTTAATAGGCGACGGAACATTTCCCAAGGTAGGGCTAGAAAAATTGCTCTTCTGCCCCAGATACCTGCACACATCATTTAACCCTCAAAGCTCTTTTTCCCCCACATTGTATTAAATGAGATCATACCAAGACTCATATCAAGTCAAATTAGGCCTCTGTCACAGCTCTGTTCATCACACACAGCCAGACATGGGATCTGTTTTGTTCTACCTGAGTCAGGCAGACGCATGCCTGCGCCTGGGGGGAGCCAAGGCTGGGATCAGCCCTCTGGCATCCAAAGCATTCCCCCTCTGTGAAGCCAGGCATTTCACGTGCTCCTGCTGTTCACATGTTGGCAAGCTTGGGATATTCTGGTAAGGAGCATTCCTGTCTATTCCAGCTTGAAATGAGTCTGCATTTCTTTGGCCAACACAAAGCTTTGATATGAATGATGATGCCAGAGAAAAATCTCAGGAGACTTTGCAAGGATTGCTAATAAGCAAGTATACCTAGCATTTAGGATGGAAACTGTCTTTTCTTTAGAACTCTATAGACTCAGAATCTCCCCCTGGCAACACCTTGCATTCTACATGTCTTTGGGAAACTGTTTATAAGCAGGAGTAAATGGAAGAGGAGTGTGTTCTAGCAACATGTTTTATATGAAGAGGGAGTGCATGGGGACAGGATAGAGAAATCACTGATGCTGAAGCTGGAGAGGAGAGAGACAAAAAGTAAAGAAGTCTTCCCTCTCTCTGCAGTCTCTAGAGAGAAGAGGTTGCTACAGCTGGGGTTTGTGATTTGGGTGCAGCCCTGTTCTTCTGCAAGTCTACAAGTCTTGGGTCCCTTGAAATGGCCAGCATGGTGGGACCACAGCCTTGGAGTGGTACAAAACCTTCTGAAAGGTCTGCTTTGGCCCTGCCATTTCTTACAGGCAGGCAGGAAACATGAGTCTTTGTTGAGGTTGCTTATTTTGTTGCCTCTGGCGAATGATTGAGGAAACTGGAGTGCTCTTATCACTTTCTGTACCCTCAATGTGGACTGTTTGTGTCAGTCCCAGAGGTAGTGAAGCCAGAGTTAGGATTTGATGTTCCACGTGGGGCTGTGACACAGGCTGAACTCTAGAAGTGGACACTTGGGCTCTCAGCAGTGAGCATCAGTGGTAGGGAGACTGAGGCATGTGAGTGCATCAGAGCAAACAGAACCCATAGTAAATCAACCCCTTAAAGCCATGCTCCAGCTGCGCCAGGTCATGTTGGCGCACACCAAGCGTTTAGAAAGGGAATCGTGCGGATATCTGGCACTTAATGAAATTTGTCATTTAATTTGTATTTCTTTGATCACTAGAAGGTTGAATTTGTTACTACATGGCCATTTCAATCCCATCATCTGTGGAGCCCTTGGCCTTAAATGTCCTTGAGGCCAATTTTCCTGATCTGTTGTCGCCCTATGCTGTCTGCTAATGTCCACACTTTTACCTCTCCCTTTTTTGATCTCATGAAACCATCACATTGGATCCATCTTATAATTACTATCTGGAGTACCATCAGCTACCATAATAGCTATCTTTGGGCTCTCAAATTATGCTTGGTTTATGCCATTCAGCTCAGCTCTCTGGGGCTTTAAGCAGTAAAGCAGAAGGATCCTTTAGCTATTCACTTCTCCCACACACAGGGCTTCCTGCCAGCACCCCAATCCACACCAGCTTTTCATCTGAACAAAACCCTGTCCAGTGCTAAATATAGCTTTATTTAACATAATTGTGCAAGGTGCTTTCTACTTTTAAATCTAGACTGGGCAGGGAGCAGGACATTTACATAACAAGTCGGTGTCAGCCCTCTAACAAATCTTTTGATTTCCTTTATTGGATCAGTGAGTAAACTAAGGAACAGGGGGGTTTGAAGCCCTGCTCCTGTCATTCAGCTAATTAAACCTCAGGAATCTTCACTTCCAGTAGGTGCACTGTTCACTGCCATCCCCGTGTCCAAGCAGACAGCCCAGTCCTCGGTAGTGGGCAAGGAGCAAAGCCCTGATTCCCTGCAGAGGCTGGTGGATTCCAATGTGTAGTTCCCTTGGAGGGCTCACCGTCAGACTGGAGGGAATACTCCTGCCAACTGGCTCACCAGCCAAAGATCTTGTCCAGTTTTCATATACTTTTATATACTTTTTTTTTTTTTTTGCCACTTCCTCCAGATGGTGGCTAGTTAGCTTCTGAAGTGTTCCAGGGCTTTATCAAGATCAAAGACCTCCCAGGAGAAGCTGTGGTACTCTCCTCAGACCAGCTGCTGGGTATGCCACATTCTGACTTAGTGGCAAATGCAGATCCTTTCGGGGGCCAGGAAAGTATGTCCATATGTCAAGTGGCTGGGATAAGACTAAAGACATGCCGGGAGGCCAGGGACCTCATTCATTGTCCACTGCTTTATCCCAGCACCTGAAGAGGAATCTGCACACCATAGATTATCCCTATTAAAATATGTAGAATGAACAGTATGGGGATTGCAGAGAACTGGCAAATGCATGTTTCATGGAAGGCACTCTTGTCAAAAAAGCATGCCTCTGTGCAATATTTGGCTCCCAGCTTGCAACCTCTATGGTTGAATAAACAACCCTATTAGTGGATAGGATGGAATAATGACAGCCAAGCAACAGGGATGCCTGGCTTATCACTTTGATATGATGTGTTCAGTTGGAATCAGGACACACACAGTACCTGTTTAAGCACCTCGTAAATCCTTCCCATGAATAACCTTGACCCTTTAATAACCCTGTACTCATTGGAGATATGTAAATTTTCATACTTTCCTTTCTACTGTGCTGTGGTCTTTTTCTGAATCCTTTAGTCATATGTTTCTCTTTTCAAAAAAATGTACAAAGACACCTCTTTTACCAAAGAAGGGAAAGACTTTCTAAACACAAACTTACATACTAAGGATGACAAATCTGCTTTCATACATACATCACCTTTTCTAAAATGAACTTAAGCAAACAGTGGCAGTGTTTTGTGCCCAAATCCCTTTAAGCCCAATTCATCTTCACAGTCTGCCATAACAAGTCACAACATCCTGGACAGCAGGGGACAGCCCCTGCAATTTTCCCCTCTCATGAAAAGTTGACCCTGGCTGTTTCCAGGGACACCACCCTTATTCTGCTGGGTCTGTGTCACCATCCTTCCATCTCATTCTCCTGACATCCCAGACCCAATTGTTTGGGTTTATAGCAAAGTCCGTTGAACCAAAAGGAGTGTGACTCTTCGGTCAGTCAAGCAACTGTTGCGGAGTAGACAGGCCAGATGGGGAGCCCTCTGAGCACATGTGCCCTAACCCTACATAGGGTTGACAGACACAAGACCATATGTCTCTGCAAGGAAGCCCAGAGCCAGCTTCCAGACTGGATTCAGCCACTGATTTGTCACTTAAATACATTGATTCCTTAGGGAATTGGGAAAGGTATCAAAACATCCTCTAGCAAGATAAAACCTGCAGTAGAATCTACCTGGAAGAACAGACTTCACAAAATGAAGCCATAGCCATCATTAATCTTTTGGCCAAGATAGATATGAGTGAGAAAGGTATCTCCTAAGATACTAAAAGCATTACAATTCCAGATTATCTTGAAACATTTTACTGGTAAATGGTAAACACACATATACACATCCCTCGGTCGGCAATAGGCAATATTGGACTTCCAATTTACAAACCCTTTGATAGGATAAATAAACCTGATTCTAGATAGAAACCATTACTATCAAGAAACATTGAACTCCAACTTACTGCTTGGTGTTCTATGTTCTGATGAACTCAAAGATGCAGATAAATTTTTGTGGTTGCAGAGCCTCTCTCCATCAATGACCTTGGCCCAGAACTGGACTGATTGTAATTTTCAGCCCTGAATGTAAAAGTTTGTGTCAGTGAGGAATAAATTCAGCTGCAAATAACAGAAAATCTGGCCAATAGTGGCTTCAATGGTAGGGGACTATTTTTCTCATGTAACAAGATGTTCAGAGACAGGGGGTGACTCACAGTGGTTCAGCTGATCCACTGCTGTTGGGGCCAGGCTCTTTCAGTCTTCCTGAGCCACCTTACTCAGCATTTTGGTATTTGTCCTCACCCTTGTCACAACTATACACCTGTGATCAAGGCAGAAGCAAGTGGGGAAGGAGAACATCAGCTGGGTCTATTGACCTGGTTAGGGAAACAAAAGCTTTTCTAGAGGCCCCCTTGGCAGGCTTTCCTGTCAGGCTCACTGGTCACGACTGTGTCACATGACTGCCCCTGGCTGCAAGAGAGGAGGGAAATGGAGTATATTCCTGATCAGCCTCTATGGTAGAGCAGAACAAGGGGGAATGGACTTGAGAATAGGTGTGAATGAGCTAAACACACAGGGGCTACTGACACACTACAGGGAAACTCTTCCAAAACTCTCATTATACAGATGACAAAGCTGAGTTCCAGAATATAAAGTAATTTGGTCAAGATCCCATCGCTAAATGAAGCTAGAGCCAGATCTAGAGCCCAGGTCTCTTAGCACCCAGTCCAGAAAGCTCCCTACTGGACTGCACCATGGGTGTAGTTTGACAGAGTCTGTGACTGAAGCTCTGTTGAGGAAGTAAATACCATCTAGAAAATGAGGTGTGGGTATAAAACCACCAATAGTGTGCTAAAGATGTAGTAGCCTCTACTTGAGGTCTCCTTCTTCCCTCCTGAGAAATCAAATGATTCAGTGTGAGTCACAGAAGCTAGACCACGTCAAATCAGGCCTCCTCCAGGTGCCCTCCTGCTGTGCAGACTTTTTTAGCTTCTTGTTCCTTTGGCACATCGATGTTTGTGTGTGTTATAATGGGATCAGTCTCATGATGAGCACCATGATGACGTAGAATTTCCATGTCATTGTTAATGTGCTGTTCTTGTCTTCTGTCCCCTTCTGTTATTGAACCAAACAGAAGTATTCTGCTGTTTCTCTCTGCAACATCTCCACAGAAGTCCTAAAAGTCATCAATGCCACTGAGGAACTGATAGCAGAGTCCGCGGGGCCCTGGGAGTTCCCACCTGTCCCTCCTGACAGAGAGAAGGGGACGTTTCCTCTTGGGACAGACCAAGTGAGGCTGGATGAGCAGCTGACTTCCCTGGAAGAAAATGTAAGATTTTATTACCTGTGGATGTTTCCCTATCTAAGGCAAACATGTGCAAAAAAGAAACTGATGAAGGTGTAACCCATCACAAACCATGCAAGGACACATACACACCACCACCACAGCAAATACATTCTCAGGGAGGGTCTCAGGCTGGGTTCCTCAGAAGCAGACCTTGAAGTGAGGGTTTGTGTGCAAGCGATTTCTTAGGGAAGTGCTCCCCCAGGGAGGCCAGTGAGAGACAGGGGGAAGGGAAGAAGTCAAGCAAAGGTATGGTCTTAGACAAAGAGTAGTTTTGACAGATCCTGCAGGAAACCCTGGGGTATCAATTGCACCTGATTCCTCCGACCTGAAGCAAAGGAACTGGCCTTTTCTACAGCCAGCAGGCACTTCATTCTCTATGCAACCTGGTCTAGAGTAGCCTGAGGCAGTCTTCTGCATAGCTGAGCTGTTGGGAACAAAAGCAAGCTAAAGCTTCGAGCCTGGGGGGATGTCTAAACTGTAAGGGGACCTCAGGGGATCCAGGTGGAGCACTAACAGTGCCACAACAGGGAAAGGGGGTGTCTGCCCATCAAACTTAGGTCACAAGTGGTCTGTCCTGCTCATAGACCTATATGCTGGTAGTGGATTTTTCTAGCCAAGTTTGAGAGGAGAGAAAGGAGGTAACAGATTCTCACATACAAATACCCACATTCATTGAGTATTTTAATAAATTCCCAATGAGAACTTTCTGACGCTGAGAACACCACTGCAGACACAGAGACTGGGACATTAGCCACTCGGGCTGCAGTCACCATCACCAATTGCCATAGGCCTGCCCATGAAACTGATATTGAATCAAGTGATTCCATCCTTTCAGATCCAGCAGAATCAACCCTGATTTTGGGGTGCAGTTCTCAGACATCAGGAACTGTTCATAAAGGCAACTTTTGCAAAAAGTTGAAACAACAACAAAGCAAAACAACTCAAGGTTTAAAAAAATATGCCAATAGTTGCTTTATCTTAAAAGTTAAACACTGGCTCCCTCGGAATTCCCATAAAACCTAAATAGAGGTCTGACTGTCCCTTACGTCACTTTACTTCCCTTTCTGTCTATTCATCTATCTGTCCCCATTAGATCAGCACCACTGACATTTTGGTTTCAATAAATCTTTGTTGTGTGGGGTGTCCTGTGTGGTGTAGAATGTTCAGCAGTATCCCTGGCCTCTACCCACAAGATGCCAGTGGCATCAAAATATGACAGTCAAAATGTCTCCAGATGTTGTCAAATATTGGAAGAGGAGATGCAGGGAGGCTGTAGCACAGGTTGGCGGTCATCCCCAGATTAGGAATCCTATGTATAAATCCCTGCAGAGCACGGTCTTTCTTTCACATCAGTAGTCCCGGCCCTTTCCCAGAGCTTGACACAGAGGTGCTCGAAGAATGTTTACCTGATAATATGATTCAGATGATTGAAGTCCTTTTTTATAGGAAGAAATGTTTTACTGCTAATGTGGAGGGTCTCTGTTAAGTATGTCCATACTACAGTTCTTTCAGTGCTGATAGCCCTAAAATGGCCTTCATCTTGGACACGCAGAATTGAAAAAGTTAAAGTCAAGATATGGTTCACCAGGAAAGGGGTGTTTTTTTGTTTTACCAAGTATTGTATTTTAAAAAGCAATATACAATGCATTAGATATTCAGATTTACATGACAACCGTGGGTTCTCGTGGCATACGTAAAGCAAAGACAGTGTACCTTTCTTTCCTCCAAGGGGCATGTTGAAAAATGCAATGGCTTTGTGGGAGTTTTCATTTTGTCAGATCCTTTTCATATATACTTTCTTTCCTTGGGTTCCTTAACATTTTCAGGTCAAAACACATGCCTTTACCCACTGATGTGAGCTGTCCATAACCTCACATTGACCTGCTACAAAGGCAGGGGTTTCTGGGGGTGGCGGGTATCTGTAGTTCCCTGCACCTGTGTCTGGCCCTCGGCGATGCCTCGCCTGTTCCCTAAGAGTTAACTGCTTCTTCCCCCTCCTCCCTTCCCCCTTCCAGCTTTTCACATTGCCTTAGAAGAAACTCCATCTCTATTCCTTTGAATTCTATTGGTTTTGAGTTAGAGAAGGGACAACTCTTCTCTTTATCTCTTCAGAGATAAAGATCACAGAGCCCTGGGCTGGTTTTGCTCTGCGGTTTCCAGGATGGAATTCAGCTGAGCAGCAGAAGGGTGGAGCTGATTCCTAAACTGGCCTCTGGGTGCAGCTGATTTAATTAAACCCTGGCTTTATGTCCATCTGTGTTCAAAAGAGCGCTCCCTCTTTCTCCACTGTTTGCTCCTTTGTGCTGAGGAACCGGGGCCTGTCAGAAATAGAAATAGAAACGGAGATGCTTATTCTCACCTTCTGAACATTGGCTACCACAGACCAGGACTCGGAGATGAAAGAGAACATTTGCTTGAGAATGTTTCATCTTTAAAAAACACTCTAAAGGTTTCAGAGCTACCTGAGATAACACAGAATGTCATTCGTATGTCAAGTCTCCTGTTTTCACAAACTGCCTTGTTAACCACTTAATTAGAGTAGGGCTTTGGGGACTTCAGAATCCCCAGATTTTCAGCTCTCCCTGAAAGCTGTGAGGCACAGGGATCCATTGTACCTGTAGGGGCCTGGATGGGAAAGACGAGTTTCAGGAAGGGACTTCTCTCCAGGGATAGGTTCAGAGAGTAGCAGTTGGGGTGGTGTTGGGGAAACACTCACCACCCCCCAGGCAGTATAGTCCATGGAAAGCTGGTGCCTGGAGGAGCGCTCCCTAGTGGGAGCTGTCCCCATGAAGCCCACATGGGTAGAGGACAGGGAAAGGAAGACAGACTTCTTTGTCCTCCTGCCTTTGGTCTCCTGCTGGTGTCTCCCATTCATTGGCCAAACCCATCCCAGCCAGCCAGGAAGCCTGGGTGATGAGGTTCATACAGGACAGCCTCACAGAAAACAGAGTGGGACAAAGAAGAATGGAAGATGGATCTAGGGGTCAACAACAACTGGCATGACCATTCTCAGACCTGTGGTGTGAGTAGTGGGGACCCACAAAGGCCACCTTGTGGATTTATGCAGAGTTATAAGTGGGAGAGATGAGCCACCTCCCAGCTCCCTCACCCTTCCTCTCCACCTGCTAAGGACCTGCCCATTCTCTTCACTGTTAAATGATCAACAGCCTGGGGCACCCCATAATTCCCAGCACAGAGACAGTGGAAGGACAGTCCCAACTTCCCTTTTGCACTGACCTATAACTTTTGACAACACCAAGTCCCACTGTGTCTACAGTAGCAGCAGACACAGTAGAACTGCCCCATAAGGGAGCCCAGCTCTGCCACAGAATCCGGGAGCAGGCAGGGGATGTTGGACCTTCTCCTGAAGGCTCTTGGGCACCATCCATGGCACAGGAGAGGACATTGCCCTGGCACTTGTAGAGATGCTACTGGCTACTTAGGTGGGCCTCTGCCTTCAAGAGCAAACCAAGAAATGCTATCAGTTACTGTCTAGATGTAGTCCTCTAGAATGTGATTCATGGAAAGCACGTCCGACAAGACACTAGAAGTTCAAATCCGTTTCAGCAACCTGTATAGTCTTTCTAGGAAAATTGAGATACATATTAGCACATTAAAGACTCTGCGAAAAAAAAAAATAAAGACTCTGCGAATTCCTGCAGTGAAGAAAACTGTTTAATTCTCTTTACCCTAGAGGCTTTGGCGACAAAGTCCTTCCATAACAAAACACCCATTCTTGTCCCTTGAACCACTTTGAGGAAGGTGTGTTGAACCAGGAGCCATGCCATGGGGTCATGAGCAGCAGTGGCTAGAACTTGGAGAAGTCATAGCCATGGCTCTCACTAAAAGCGGGCCTTTATTCAGCCAGCAATTCCAACTTACTGGTTTTCAAATAGGTTATTTTTTTTTCAAATAGGTTATTTTTTAAAACTAGAATCACATTTCCATTATTATAGCATCTTAACTTGTGTTATTGCACCCCCAGCCACAGAACCAATGTCATGTTGATCTATAACCACAATAACTCTAGTACCTTCAGGTCAGAGTTTGAAATGTAAACCATCCTAACATTGCAAGCGAGATTGAGTATCAGGGCATCTCAGGGCACGGTGGATAAAGTCATGGGATCTGACATCAGCCCCCAGGAGCTCAAATCCCACTCCCCCACTTCCCAGCTGTGAGGCCTGGGGAAGTCACTCAACCTGTAGGATTTAATATTCTCCTCTTTCACACATAGCAGCACCTACTTCAGGGACTGCTGTGAGCATTAAAGGAGAAATGTCCCATAAAACCTTTGGCTTAGTGCCTGGCTCAGTAAATACATGTCATCACCATCATCACCAACACTGGCCCTTTAGGCGTCATGACTTTGGCAGTGACACATTGAGAGTTCCTGCTCAGCCTGCACTGGGGCAAAACCACAGAACCTTCCCTTCCCCCCTTGTGCCAGGAAAGCAGGCTTTCAGGGAACAGAAAGTAAAAGGTGAACATTCTGGCCTTGCTGAGGGCTTGGAGTTGGTCCATATTGCTTTGATTTGGCAGAGAAAACAAAGAACATTAGTGGATGACCATGATGAAGACAAAACAAGAGACTATTAAAAGACGATACAGCTGTAGGATGTGATGATGTTGAGTTTTGTGTGTTTCCAGAAAAATCGAGGCTCTTGAGACCAAAGTTATGTCAAGTTATGTTTAACCCATTGCCACACTCACTCAAATTATTTGTCTCGTTTAAATCATAATTCCAAATTTTGTTTCATTGTATAACCCTGTAATTATCATCTCTCCTTGTCTCTTCCTCCCTCTGTCTCCTCAATTTTCCCCTCTGAAGAGAAGTTTTCAACTTCAAAACTTCCAAGACACAAATTTTTAATGTTTCCTCCCTTCAAATAGCTTTGAAATATTCATCATTTCCTTCATGTGACAAACAATGAAGCAGAGTATCGTGTTTTCAAGACAAAGAACAAATGTCTCATATTAACTGTGGAGATCTTTTATTTATTTATTTATTTATTTATTTATTTATTTATTTATTTATTTTGTGGGGATCTGTTAGAAACAGAAGTTCTCTGATACTTGCATATGACAAAGAAGTACAAAACTAAGGGCAGACTGAAATATGGCAATTGTCAATGGACATCTGATTCACGGTCCCTTCTCTGACTGATGAATCACTCAACATGGCATCCACTGTATCATTCATTGTTAGAAGCTCCCCCAGCTCATCGTGCCTGGCGATGTACAACTGTGCATTCATCAAACCTGCACCTGCCCTTGCTCCACTTTGAAATGTTTTGTAAAATTGCCAGTTTTAATGCAGATGCATGAATCAGGCCAAGGAATTGACAGGATAGGAGCATCGCAGAGTTATTTCCCCTCCTCACCAGCACTCAGTGTCGCTCGGCGCAAAACACTTGCATGGCTTGTGTGCACAAACTCTTGGCTTATCCTGTTTTATTTTTAACTCAAGATAAAAAAGCTTGTGTGACCGTGTGTTTTCATTCAAAGCGACTCTAAATTGCTGTGATTACATGTGTAGAGCTTTATATATGTTGATTCAATTTCAAAAAACTCTTGTTAAGTAATTTGCTTCTTTGGATCAATCTCATTCCATGTAATTGGTTGTTGCATCACATTATTATCTAGGCTGAAGGACATTTGTTCCACTCACCCCGTCTCGCATCTTTTGGTCTGTATTATTCCAATGATCCTGCCTTCTGTTTGCCCACTTTTACAGCAATTGCCTTATAAACTCAAGTCAATTTTTTTCCTTTAATTTTTCTCCAGACTACTCCCTTTATCTGATTTTTCTCTTTGATTTTCAAGGACTCTCAAAAAATCTGTCTTCACTGATAGATGAATAGATTTGACATATTTCTTTTAACATCGCATTATTTTCTAAGAAATATTTTCCTACTATAAATTTCAGGTTCATCTTAGTGCTCTTAACCTGCTTCAAGCGAGCTGAAGGTCATCAATCAGATAATTCACTCAAAATGAATAATTGTTTTAATTTCTTCTTGGGCAGCCCGGGTGGCTCAGCAGTTTAGCACCGCCTTCAGTCCAGGGCATGATCCTGGAGACCCCAGATAGAGTTCCACGTCAGGCTCCCTGCGTGGAGCCTGCTTCTCCCTCTGCCTGTGTCTCTGCCTCTCTCTCTCTCTCTCTCTGTTTCTCATGAATAAATAAATAAGACCTTTAAAAAATTATTTCTTCTCTTTCTCTTTATGTTTTCTGAATTTTTTTCAATTGCTAAATGCCAACCAATTTTTTTTCCAACCAAAATTTTATTGGAAAAATCACATCATGAATTTTTCTTTGACTTCTGTCTTGGCAATATGGTTGCTATAGTCATTGGAAAAAATTGCAAATTATGTAATAGCTGATGCCATGTACTTTGGACTATTTCATTGTATTTTCTAAACTTTTAAGGTGCTTTTTCTTGCAGGAAAGTTGGGGGGACCTAGGTGTGGTTGACAGTGAGGAGGTGGTAAGACCTCGTGTTACCATTTCAGTGTGAAGAATGTTTATAAACAGACGTATTCTCTGAGTTTTCCTCCAGCGCTGAGTCTGGTCCTCTTTCATTCCCCCTGAATTACTGGGGTGCCCTGAAAGGACCCCACCAGTCTCAGTTCCAAACTCTGAGCTCAAAGACTGCACCTCCTCTGCAGGTGTACCTGGCAGCGGGCACAGTGTATGGACTGGAAGGCCAACTGAATGAATTGGAGGATGCTGCCCGTTGCATCCATAGTGGCACCAATGAGACTGAACTGGCAGATCTGGAGGACCAGGTGGCCACGGCTGCAGCCCAGGTTCACCATGCTGAGCTCCAGGTAGGAACTCCTTCTTTGCCCAGAAGGAGCACCATCACAAAACAGGAGAGGGCACCCCATCTTCCACAAGAATTATTGCAAAGCCCTTTTATCGGTTCTCTAGTGCACTTGCATTGTCCTTTTGGGTGAATTCCACCAAATTCTCCTTCTAAAAAATTATAGCTTTGATAATATTTCAGACTTTCCTTTAAACCTATGTCACTTTCCTCTTAGACAAATTTTCTGACTCATCGGTAGGTCTCCTTGCTATATAGGTTCCCATTCTATCCCAAGATCACCCCTCCCTAACTGTTGATTACTTACTTGCTGCCAGCTTCCCCCTCTACACACTGACAGCCCCATGAGGACAGGACTGTAGCTGTCTCTCTTCACACAGTAACTCCAGTGCCTAACATAATACCTGACACGGGTTTGGCAATAAAAATGGTGTGGATAAATGAATGAAATTGAAAGTGTAGATTTCTCAGACCAGTATTTTGCACGATTTAGATATGGCTGATTCAGAACTGAAATGATGTTGTCTATAACTTCATAAAGATATTTGTTTAAAGTTTTCATGGATATTCCCCTGGCTCCTGACTCTGGATCAGAATTGACTGTGGACTAAATCACTGATTCTCAAACACAGAATGTTTGAGACATGGTGTCTGCAGTATATACTCAGTACAGATCCCTGGTTCAGTGATACTTCTATGGACCCCATCTCTTAATACTCCCCCTTGTATCCTAGGGGACCTGGGGTCAATAAAAACCACCTATGGATAGAGAAGATGATTATCTTGAATAGTAATTACTCTTTAAATAAATATTTTTGTTTTAGAGAGTCAGAAATCGCAACAACTACTGGCAGCAGTAAGCACTCTAGAGAATGTAAGGGCACCCATTCCCCACCCTGTGGATGAGTTGATGCTGTGTGTTAGGAAGGATCTCATTGCACATAGCCCTGTGCAACTATAACTATTCATTATCAGCAAGAATGATTGAAGATCATCTCTCCTCAAAAACAAATCATTTTCCATAGATGCCACCCAACATTTAATCAATTTATATTCAAAGTTATAAAAAGTAGAATCAAATCATTTGTTTTCCAGGGGTACATTTTGCAGCAAATACTTCTCAAATGACTTAGTAGGAAGTAATATTATGTATGTGTGTTTGGCAGGAATTTTTTGGACCTGCTTCTAGATTTTTCTAGTCTTAAACTACTGGAGCCATGTTTTATAGAAGAAAACCCTGGAGTCCAAAATGCCCATTTTCTGTGTGTTTGACCTTGCCTAGTTTTTATAGATTTTTAAATATGACAGTAATGTTATCAATAATGCCTATTGTTCAGTGAGCCTTACCTTGTGCCACAAGTTGTACTTAACACTTGACCTCATTATTGTAATTAATCCTTCCCACAACTCCATGATGTAGCTACTGTTATTTTTCCCCTTTTGTTTCTAGGGAGAATGAGACTCAGAGAGGTTTAACCACTTGCCCAAGGTCAAATAGCTAAAGAGCAATGAAGCCAAAAAAAAGAAAAAAAAAAAAAAGGAGCGATGAAGCCAGGACTTGAACCTGTCTTTCTAACCTCACAAGCACATTCTTCACCAGTCTGTGTGATTTCCTGAGAAAATGTGTTGGTCCTGTTATCAGACACATATCCACCTGTATAAAAACTCCTTAATTTTCAAGGGAGGTTCTCAACACTGCCTTCCATTTCATGGATCTTTGCAATGTGGGGAACTTCAGTTCCACGGAGGCTCTCCCCCTACTGCAAGTTGCCACCAGAGAATGAAGCCTCACACTCCCTGTTGTCTGTTCTCATGCAAAGTTGTCCCCACTGAGGAGGGTAGATGTACTAAACTGTGTTCTTGGATTAGGTTGGACTCCAGGGACTCTATCATCTTGGAGTTTACCATTGGGACAGGATTTCCCAGTGCTTTGGGAGATTGCAGAATGATCCATGGGGATGTGTGTGCTATGGATGCCATCCACTGCATCATGTAACATCATCTCTGTGGGCTTCGTGAAGAAGGTCTCTCTGAACTCTCAGTACCAGGAAAAGCTGTTCTTCTGAGCACTTGGTCTTTATCTTGCAGACATAGAATCCTACACTGATCTCTTTGCTTTGGCTCCCAGGAAACTCATTGCTGAATTAGTCATCCCCTCAAATAGTGTAAGGGTCATTGGGTATGCAGGCTTAGGAATGAAGTGGAACATAATTAGATAGATAGATAGATAGATATAGATAGATAGATAGATAGATAGATAGACAGACAGCAAATGTAGACAAAATCAGGCCTCAGTAGTCTCCTCTCCTCTTTCTTTGGCCTTTGCCCTGTGAACTAAAACACAAAAAAATATACCCTTCTTCTTCCAGACCCTGTCAAGCAAATCAGGTGGTGAGCAGCTTGCTGTCCCTGTCTCCCAAGGCCCGTTAAGTAAGGCCCTCCATCACAACTGCTTCCAGGAAAGAGCATGGTCATCTAATCCATACCAGCTGCAATGACTGATAAAAGTTTAGTCTGCAACCTTTCTCAGAGGCCTATGCAGTTTATTGGCCTATAAGGCAAAAGAATGCAGCTTTCAATATGAAATTTGAGGAGTCAGAACAAGAAGGTCTCTAGGGGCCAGAGAGGGGCAGAGGCTGCTGGGCAGCGTGGAGTATTTCACCAAATGCCACAGTCTTGGCCTCTGCCTGCCTCCTCCTCCTCTTCTGGCCAAGACTGCCCCTGCTTGGGGACAGAGGAAACACCTCCCATATTTGCTGACCCTTCAGTCCTTCTCTCTGCACTTTCTATGGCACCTGTCCCAAAAGGCTTTGTCCAAAAAGGTCCTCAGTAAGTGACAGCAGAATTTGAATTTGTCCTGAGCAGCTCAAGAGAGTGGAGGAAAAAGGGAGGCAGTGGAGACCTCAGGGCAGAGTCCACACACACTGGCTGCTGGGCTGACTTCTGAGCTCCTTGTCTGATGCCCAGCAACACTCAGGCATGTCCAGAGAGCAGTAGGACAGCTGTGATCCTCACCTCCTCTCTCCACTCCAATAGCCTGCTCCTGCCTCTCCCCACGCCCCCCATGCCAGACCTTGGCAGATCCTCTCAGAATGTGGCAGTGAGGCAAGAGCATGAGCATTGGCATGAATTCAGAGTTCTGCCCCAGACCACCTGTGCAATTAGCTGTATTACTTATCCCTCTGAGTCATAAATCCCTCATCTACAAAACCAAGAAAATGGTATTATGTCATAGGTTTATGAATGAGTTCACATATTTAAAGTGCTTAGCATGGTGACAGCACATATTAATGCTCTTTCATAAGAGTCAGGACTGTGTCTTCTTCATCCCTGGGGACATGGATGGGTCAGGGTTCTTTCTGGGCCCTGAGTGGGCTCTTTCTCTCTGTATCTGCCTTAAGACTGTGTTGGAAAGAAATCTGAACTCTCTATGACCTTCTGATGTTATAGACAAGGAAACTGATGCCCAGAGAGAAGAGAGAGATTCTCAAGGCACTTGTCCTTTTAATGAAAGAAATGGACTTGAACCAGGAGTGGCTGAGCCTCCCTCCTAAGAGCTGGTGCTATGGTTTGGGTTCATGGAGTCATGGAAGAATGAAGAAGGACCTATAAATCATACTTGCCTTTCAAAGCTCGCAACAAGTGTTGCCTGCTCTGGAAGCTTTCCCTGACCACTCCCCTTTCTCTCCCCACCAGGATGGGCCACAGTTACCTTCATGCGCTGGGCTTCTGCTTAATCCCCTAGAGATACTCTGACAAGGGTGTTGATATACTCTAGAGCTACCAAACTAGACTAACTAGACTTTAAATTTACAAAGAAAGGCCTGTGTCTTATTTTCTTACTATAGCACTAGATATAAAAGGGCTTGGTAGAAGTTGAATGAGTGAGGGAAGCCTGGCTGGTTCAGTCAGTGGAGCATGTGACTCTTGATCTTGAGGATGTGAGTTTGTGCCCCACACTGGGTGCAGATATTACTTAAAAAAGAAAGTTTTTATATTAAAATTGAATGAGCATATAGCAAAGCAGATTTGTTCATTATAGATTCCCATCACTTTTAACAAAGATTCTCCCCTCCTGTGTTTTTCCCCTACTGATTCTATCTTTCTTTTGCATTAAGATTTCTGATATTGAGAGCCGAATTTCAGCCCTGACCATTGCAGGATTAAACATAGCACCGTGTGTGCGCCTTACAAGAAAACGAGATCAGAAGCAAAGGAACCAGGTGCGTTTGTCCCTCACTTCCTTTGTTGGAATATTGCATGACTTGGGAAATTTAGAAGATAAAATACCTTTGCTTTATGAAGGTGTGTTGACTGCTGTGTTCTATTTGTAGGTACAAACCATAGACACATCAAGGCAGCAGAGGAGGAAACTGCCTGCCCCACCAGTGAAAGGTGTGCTTAAAATAAAACTACAGAGCTACCAAAGAATTAAGTCTGACTTATTTACTTTGAGTGACTCAGTTATCTGAGTTTGAGGACCAGATCTGATGGGGAGTTCTCACCCAGAAGTGCTCTTGTGAAGAATCCATCTTGACTTGAATCCCCCCAAGAAGCAGACCCTGGGAGAAGGATGTGATTTGGGTAGTGATTCTAAGAAACACTGGTAGAAGAAAAAAGAAATGATACAGGGACCGAAATTAAGTCAATACAGTGCAATTTATTTATTTATTTTTAATACAGTGCAATTTAATTTGTAGTTTATTTCTCTGAGCAAATGAGGCCAAATCCTGCTCAGGACATCTGGGAGACAGTATTGACTGCACCTCAGAGTTTCCTGCCCAAAGAATAGGAAAAGGAGGATTTCAACTCTCAGCTATCATCCTCTGATCTTTACTGGGGAGAAGGCATTAATTCCCTGGTACTTCTTCCCCACTCCATGCATGAGCCAAGAGAGAGTGCCGGTGCTTGCAGAAGCATTCTGTTGGAATGTGCTGGATGTCGGAATGTGTGGTGATGTCAGGAAAATGTGGGCGGGGCACCAGAGGCATCTAACACAGTGCACAATCCACAAGGGATTCTAGTGATGCTGGCGGTGTCATCCTCATCCCCTGGACATTTTCAACAGCTTCCCTAGATTCAGGAGCCATATATGATGATGTCAAGCTAGAATTTAAATCCACAAATCAGAAGAGTAGACAGAAGATATATGTTTAAGTCGTGGCTCCACCATTGTTTGCTCAACAAATATTTATTGAATGCCTACTTTATATCCCATTAAACCTCATATGATTGCAATGTATTACAGACCCATGGTCTTTTATTTGAAATCCTTGGATAAATACATGTTTCAGAATGTCTTGAACATTAGAAAGGTAATATGGCACATGTATTGTATATTTCCTAACAGTCCCCTCCTCATGGTGTCTGGGGCAGCATCTGACAAACCCATTAATGTCCTTGCAGCAAAGCACGAGAATGTTCACTCTCAGTGGAATGGACAAGGATTTTAAATGGCCATATGTCAGTGTAAGTCAGGTTTTGCCATTTGACAATTTGGGCCCCAAAGTCGTAAGACTTTACAGCCTTAAGAGACTTCTATATTCCAGAATTGCAAATAAGAGTTTATGAATTATGGATGGTGTGCCTGGGTGGCTCAGTCAGTTAGGCATCTGACTCTTGATATCAATGGAGGCCTCTATCTCAGCATCGAGAATTCAAGCCCCGCATTTGTCTCCATGCTGGGCAGGGAACCTAGTGTTAAAAAAAAAAAAGAAAAGAAAAAGAAGAATTTATGAACTATGGTGGATTATCTCCAAGCTACCTTTTCCTAGAAAGCCATTTATGATTCTTGGATTTATTTGATGCATACCATAAAAATAATAACAAAATTAAAAGATTCTACAGTCAGACCTGCAGACTGAAGGGAGATAACAAGTCTAGAACCAAAATCTGGGTCATGGGGACAGCTTTCTTCCTCAACACTTGGCAGAGCCTCAACACTTGGCTGAGCCTCTGGGTACCATTTATTTCCATTTGTTTCCTTTTAGCTGAAAACATTGAGGCATCTTCAGTGACCACCATGAAAACATTTAACCGCAACTTCATTCTCCAAGGCTCCTCAACAAACAGGACTAATGAAAGAAAAAGCACCACCAAGGATTTGATGGTAAGTCAGCTGTGTCGCAATGCCTATCACTTGCACTGTACATGGTGCCTCCATTCTGTAGCCCTCCTGTCTGCAGCTCTCCCATCAGAGTCCCAGGAAGCATCCTTCATGCATGGTCTCAAGGTCCGTTGGTTAGGGAGGTGGGGAGGAAAGGGGAGCAACTAGAAGCATAAGCACCCTGCCTGGTATTGCTAACCTCTTTGATATATGGATACATCCTCACAACTATACATACAGCTCCTTGTAGGGTATGATATGAGAGAACTAAAAATACATACATAAGAATGTAAGGTCTGGGGGTGCATGGGTGGCTCAGTGGTTGAGCGTCTGCTATTGGCTCCAGCCATGATACCGGGGTCCTGGGATGGAGCTCCACATCGGGCTCCCCATAGTGAACCTGCCTCTCCCTCTACCTATGTCTCTGCCTGTCTCTCTGTGTCACTCATGAATAAATAAATAAAACTTAAAAAAAAAAAGAATGTAAGGTCTGGTTGAGATGTCGGGGTTTTTATCCTGGTTTTTTTTTTAAGATTTTATTTATTTATTCATGAGAGACACAGAGAGAGAGAGGCAGAGACACAGGCAGAGGAGAAGCAGGCTTCATGCAGGAAGCCTGATGTGGGACTTGATCCCGGGACTCCAGGATCATGCCCTGGGCTGAAGGCAGGCGCCAAACTGCTGAACCACCCAGGGATCCCCTTTATCCTGTTTTTGATCCATATTCACCCTTCCTTACATTTCTTGTTCACCATTAATTACTTGTGTTCCTGAAAAAAGTAAGCAGCTGCCCCTAAATGCAAAGAAAAGGACAGGAGATAATTTGCACAAATTCTGGAGATCATGTAAACAAGTCTAAGGGATTGTTTGCCTAAACACCAGCCGATGCTTCAAATTTTGGCAAAGGCTTGGTGCTGCTTATGTGGGAAGTAATAATCCAGCTAAACTGTCTCAGTGGTACCATTATGCTGAGGACAGGCAGTATCTGGGTGACAAAACTGAAGGAAGGGTAAGTTTATTCTGTTGCCTTTTATTCGTCACCCATCCCTCCCTTTCCCTTCCTCCCCCTCACTGTCCCTGTCCCCTGAGTGCAGGAGCACCAGGTAAGTGAGCATGCCCTTGGGGTTACAAATCACTGCATCTCTGGGCACCACGTGGCAACAGTGCTGCCCACTGCCTTTTCCTCACTGCTCAGCCATTACCCCTGACCTTTTAAAGTCCAATTACTTTGCTCCTGGCCATTACTTTACAAAGCTAAAAAGATGCATTATCGCACTTAAAAGGACAGACCAGTAGGGCCAGAGAAGAAATCTGTTATAAATAAGATAGTTAAAAGTATTACCTTTCATAGAGATAGAACAGATTAGTGGTTGCCAGGGGCTGTGGGGAGGGGCCATAGGAAGTAACCACTTCATAGGTGAGATGTTTTGCTTTAGAGGGACGGTATGCGGGATCCCTGGGTGGCGCAGTGGTTTAGCGCCTGCCTTTGTCCCAGGGCGCGATCCTGGAGACCCGGGATCGAGTCCCACGTCGGGCTCCCGGTGCATGGAGCCCGCTTCTCCCTCTGCCTGTGTCTCTGCCTCTCTCTCTCTCTCTCTCTCTCTCTGACTATCATAAATAAATAAATAAATAAATAAAAATTAAAAAAAAAAAAAAAGTTTAGAGGGACGGTATGCTTTCAAACTAGATGGAGGTAGTGGCCACCACATTGTGAGTGTACTAAATGCCACTGAACTGTTCATTTTTTCAGAGGGGGGAGGGGCAGATGGAGAGGGAGATAGAGAATCTTAAGCAGGCTCCATGTCCAGCAGAGAAGGCCAACATGGGGCTTGATGCTTGATCTCACAACCCTGAGAGCATGACCTGAGCCAAAATCAAGACTTATTATCAGACTAAGCCACCTAGGCACCCCTAAATTGTTCATTTTTAAATGGTTAATTTTACGTTATGTAAGTTTCACCTTAAATTAATTTTGAAAAATAAGCTACCTTTAGATAACACAGAGAGATTAAAAATGAAAGAATGGGCACTATTACTAAACAAATACAAACAAAAAAGAGAAGCAGCAATATTACTTTCAAACGAAGTAGAATTCAAGAGAAGAAGCATTCAGAGAAAACAAAGAGGGAGGTTATTTTAATTTTGATTTAAAATACAAGTCGTGACCCTTTCCTGATTTGGCATGCAACAGAGCAACACAATTTATTGTGCAAGGCCAGTGACTTTAAAATTCCCTTATCAGCCCTGGGAAGCCCAAGTACACCAAAAATAAATACAAATTAGAGCATGTGAATAAGGTATTTAATAAGCTTTAGTTAAGATATTTATCTTACCAAAAAAAAAGATATTTATCTTACAAAAAAAAGATATTTATCTTGCTTTGTAGAGGATTCACTTTCTTTCCAAGCATTAGTGGACCTTTTATAAAAGTTGATTTTTTACCAGCTACAAAAACAAAAAAAAACAAAACAAAACAAAAAAACCAACTCAGCAAATTCCAAAAAGCAGGAAGCATAAATGATCATCTGTGACCTCAATGCCAGCAATAATCTCCAACACAGCTGTCCAGTAGAACATTACAAAATGATGGATATGTTCTCTATCTGCAACATGCGATATGGCAGTCACTGAGCTATGTGTGGTTGTTGAGTGCTTAAAAATGGGCTACTGCCTCAGAGGAACTGATTTTTTTATTTTATTTCATTTTAATTAATGTAAATGTAAATAGCCATATGTGGCTAGTGACTGTCATAAGGGACAGAGCAAATTTAGAAAATTAGAACAAAAGTTAAAATACAGAAATTCTACTTGGAAATTAGAAAGCACGTGCACCCACATACACAATCATACACACACACACACACACACACATTTCCAAGTAGCTACTGAACTAAAGAGCAAAGCAAATCCACAGAGCACTTAGAAAATGAAAACAACACATGTATCCGGGCACCTGGGTAGCTCAGCAGTTGAGTATCTGCCTTCTGCTCAGGTCATGATCCCGGGGCTCCGAGATCAAGTCCTGCATCAGGCTCCCATCAGGGAGCCTGCTTCTCCCTCTGCCTATGTCTGTCTCTCTCTACGTCCCTCATGAATAAATAAATAAAATCTTTTAAAAAATTACATATATCGAAATACATATAAAAATACACTAAGTCACATTCATAGTATTAAATATTTTCTTCATTATTAAAAAAGGAAAAAGCAAAAAAAATTGAACTAGACGTTGCATTCCATACATCAAAGATCAAGACAGAAACCAATTAGTTCAAATCAGAAAACTGCAGAAATGATCATAAATCCAAGAACTTATTCTTTGGAAAAATATAAAACAGAAAATGTTTTGTAAGCCAAGTCAAGAAGAAAATAAATAAAAATAAGAGATTTTAACAGAGATGTAAATTTTTTATTTAAGTATGCAATGTACTACAGAACACTTCTGAAAGAAATTGAGGAAGACACGAGATGGAAAAACATTCTGTGCTCATGGATTGGAAGAATAAATATTGTAAAAATGTCAATGCTACCCAGGGCAATTTATAGGTTCAATGCAATCTCTATCAAAATACCATGAACTTTCTTCATAGAGTTGGAACAAATAATCTTAAGATTTGTATGGAATCAGAAAAGACCCCGAATAGCCAGAGAAATATTGAAAAAGAAGACCAATGCCAGGGGCATCACAATGCCAGATTTCAGGTTGTACTACAAAGCTATAATCATCAAGACAGTGTGGTACTGGCACAAAAACAGACACATAGATCAGTGGAACAGAACAGAGAACCCAGAAATGGGCCCTCAACTCTATGGTCAACTAATATTTGACAAAGCAGGAAAGACTATCCACTGGAAAAAAACAAGTCTCTTCAATAAATGGTGCTGGGAAATTGGATATCCACATGCAGAAGAATGAAACTAGACCATTCTCTTACACCATACACAAAGATAAACTCAAAATGGAGGAAAGATCTAAATGTGAGACAAGAATCCATCAAAATCCTAGAGGAGAACACAGGCAATACCCTTTCTGAACTCGGCCACAGTAACTTCTTGCAAGATACATCTATAAAGGCAAGGGAAACAAAAGCAAAAAATGAATTATTGGGACTTAATCAAGATAAAAGCTTCTGCACAGCAAAAGAAACAGTCAACAAAACTAAAAGACAACCTACAGAATGGGAGAAGATATTTGCAAATGACCTATCAGATAAAGGGCTAGTATCCAAGATCTATAAAGAACTTATCAAAATCAACAGCCAAGAAACAAAAAAATCCAATCATGAAATGGGCAGAAGACATGAAAAGAAATTTCACCAAAGAAGACATAAACATGGCCAACAAGCACATGAGAAAATGCTCCGCATCAAATCAAAACCACAATGAGATACCACCTCACACCAGTGAGAATGGGGAAAATTAACAAGACAGGAAACAACAAATGTTGGAGAGGATGTGGAGAAAGGGCAACCCTTTTGCACTGTTGGTGGGAATGTAAACTGGTGCAGTCACTCTGGAAAACTGTGTGGAGGTTCCTCAGAGAGTTAAAAATAGAACTTCCTTACGACCCAGCAATTGCACTGCTGGGGATTTACCCCAAATATACAGATGCAGTGAAATGGCAGGACACCTGCACCCCAATGTTTATAGCAGCAATGTCCACAGTAGCCAAACTGGAAGGAGCCTCGGTGTCCATCAAAAGATGAATGGATAAAGAAGATGTGGTCTATGTATACAATGGAATATTACTCAGGCATCAGAAGAGACAAATGCCCACCATTTGCTTCGACGTGGATGGAACTGGAGGGTATTATGCTGAGTGAAGTAAGTCAATCAGAGAAGGACAATCATCATATGGTTTCACTCATACGGGGAATGTAAGAAATAGTGAAAGGGATTATAATGGAAAGGAGAGAAAATGAGTGGGAAATATCAGGGAGGGAGACAGAACATGAGAGACACCTAACTCTGGGAAACAAACAAGGGGTGGTAGAAAGGGAGGTGGGTGGGGGGTTGGGGTGACTGGGTGACAGGCACTGAGAGGGGCACTTGATGGGATGAGCACTGGGTGTTATGCTAAATGTTGGCAAATCGAACTTAAATAAAAACAAATGTAAAAAAACAGGGATCCCTGGGTGGCGCAGCGGTTTGGCGCCTGCCTTTGACCCAGGGCGCGATCCTGGAGATCCGGGATCGAATCCCAAGTCAGGCTCCCGGTGCATGGAGCCTGCTTCTCCCTCTGCCTGTGTCCCTGCCTCTCTCTCTCTCTCTCTGTGACTATCATAAGTAAATAAAAAAAAATTAAAAAAAAAAAATAAACAAACAATACAGGGCAGCTGCTTGGCTCAATCAGTAGAGCATGCTACTCTTGATTTCAGGGTTGTGGGTTCAAGCCCCACATTGGGTGCAGAGATTACTTAAAATCTTAAAATATGTATATATATATGTATACACACATATATATACTTATATATATTTACATACAATGTCATGTAAATCTATGCTAATTAATTTTAATGTCTGAATTCTAATAAAATCTTATTTAAATCAGAAATTACTAAAAACTTACTGAAATTTTAAAATTTAGTAAAATTTGGGCACCTGGGTGGCTCAGTCAATTAAGTATCTAACTCTTGATTTTGGCTCAGGTCATGATATTTGGGTCGAGAGATGCAGCAGTGTGGCATCCCACTTAGAATTTTCTCCCTCTGTCCCTCCCTCCCCTTGCAAATGTGCCCTCTCCCTCTCTCTCTCTCTAAAAAAAAAAAAAAAAAAAAAAAAGGCAGTAGATATTTTTGATCCCCTCTTCCTGCCTTTGTCAGGTGGCTGATGACAGTGCACTCCTTGTCTCCCCACAGGAGCCCACTCTAGAGTCTGCTGTGATGTATTAGTGCCATGGAACTCCACTGCCACTGACCCACTGCCTCTGGCCGTACACGACAGTGCCTTGACCCAACAGCCATCGAATACTGTACGGATTTCCACCTGAGGAGAGGGCCTGGGGAGGCCATGGTGCACCACTGCACAGGGCTGCCCTGATACCTCACCCAGAAAGCAGTCCCGGACTTGTGCACTGTGGTTTGTCCACTCTCTGCCTTAGGCTCCCAGGGGAATCCAAGACAGAAAACCGAGAGGCTGGCTTCCAACAGTAGAGCTCCGTGTTCAAAAGATGCATCTTTTCCCTGTTCGCTTTGCTACTGTCTCTTGTCTTTAAGATCTTTTTTCTTTCTTTCTTTCTTTCTTTCTTTCTTTCTTTCTTTCTTTCTTTCTTTTCCTTTCTTTCTTTCTTTCTTTCTTTCTTTCTTTCTTTCTTTCTTTCTTTCTTTCTTTCTTTTATCCCTCTGATTCAACTAGAAGTACATGTGAAGAGTTATCTGTCCAAAGGAAAACTACTGGGGGGGGGGGGACGGAAGGAAGAGATGGGTATTATCATTTAATTCAACATCAGTTCTTACTAATCTCTCACAAGCATCTTTGTCCCACAGGTACTATGGTAAAAAGTACAAATGCCCCCTGTAGTGAACATCGGGACTGTCCTATTTGGGGAGCACACACCCAGCAAGGATGCAGGTCTCCCTTCAGCCACTGCCTTCCTGGGAAGCTCCTACCCACCCACCCCCTACAACCAGTCATTCCCATCACTTTGCCATCACAAGCCACGAAATGGAAAGCTCTGACTCACCCATGCCATGTCCAGGTCTATCAGAAATATGGTCTCATTGAGAATTCAGGATTCTTTACTGAACCTATTGGCAGTTTCCCCGCTCTGAAGGGGAAAGGAGCTTGAGAAAGCCCACCATTGGCTTAACTTAGGGCACTGTCCAGAATCCACATGCAGTTTAGCAATGACCGCATCTAATGGGGTTTATTTAGGTAAATGGATTCTTGCAGACAATAACCACGTTGAAAAAATGTTGTCCTCCAAAATTTATTTCCCAATAAATATTCAGCAAAACAGTAGAATGACCTTAAAGATAACAATGGTTAAAGAATCGCCTTGAAAAACTTACAGGCATGAAAAAAGCAAGGATAAACTGAATTTAATGGACACAAGAGCCGACACGAGCTCCACATTTGTGGCCTTGAATGCATGACTATGTAGAGTGTGTGTATAAAAGCAAATGGAATGGAACTTCACTCAATGAATTAAATCTGTCCCTGATACATTCTGAATCTAAGGAAGAGAGGAAATGAGAGTCAAGGGGATAGTTCGATCAAAATGTATTAAATGACTGCTTTCAGGGAGGTAATTTCTTCTCATTTTAATCCTTAGAGCAACCCTCTTCAGTAGGTATCCCCATTTTTCAGATTTGGAAACTAAGAGGGCCAGAGAGATTAGTTTGCTAAAGTCACACCTTGAAGTTAAGTATAATCGGAATGCTTCACAAAAGCCTCACTGTTTGTTTCAACTTCTATATTCTTTTGCTGCTATGCACATTCCCAGACCTGATTTGCTGCTGAGATGTGTGTTATGATCCCTTCCTGATGGGGGTCTACCTATCTTCCAGTGATACTCCCTGCTGACGCTGTGTATGTGTTATCCAACAGAAATGACTCCTTTGAAATAAAGTCAGTCTTTGGCTTTTTGTTCTGTTGGTGTGACTCAAAGCAGACAAATACAAATTTTAAAAACACAACAAAAAAAGATCTGAGTTCCAAACAGAATGTTTTCTTTAAGAGGCATGAAAAGCAACTATTGTTGTGTTACAGTGTTAAAATATTCAGTTTCCTTTGACAAAAATGTGTACTGTGTAAGCCTTGCAAAAAAAAAAAAAAAAGAAGAAGAAGAAGCCTGCTCTATGGCATTTGAAATTTTATAAAGGTTTCCTTGTGCCAAATAAGTGCAAAGATTTAATTTACTATTAAAAACCATAAGCATATGTTATAGTTTCAGAAGAATTATTTTGTCATCAAGTGATTTTGATCTTCAGTGTCAATATTTATATTTAGATTAATTTTTATAAATGAAAATATTTTAATGGTTTAAGAAAATGAGGACAATAGGACCATATCTTTGATGACTTCTGAAAGTTATGCTTGCCTTCATGTTATCTGCACATTGCCAAGAATTACTGTAAAGAGAAATGATAAAGAAGTAAAAGTCATTTATGAAAATAATGTGTGTGAGTGTGTGGTTTTTTTGGGGTGGGGTAGACTGGAAATGCAGAGCAGATAGAGAAAGAAATCAATGGTCTGTCATTGGAGGGGCCGACATTCAAAGCTACTGTTGCGCCGCACCCCTGTTCCTTCCAGTAATACCACTTGCTTCTCCATTGCTCATTGTCCTGGGGCAGAATTTTCCAGTATAAGACCAGCAGTTCTCAAAGCAGGGGGGCAGGAAGGGGACACCATGAATTTATCCCTCACAAGACCTCTTTGACTGTCATAACTTGGCGAGGGTTGCTAATGGCATACAGCGGATATTGGCCGGGAATGCTGCTAAACATCCTACGATGCATAACCACCTGCAACCAAGAATTATCTAATGCAAAATGTCAACAGTGCCAAGACTGAGGACCTTAGACCCTGGAAGTAAGACATGAACAGAGAGGCCCCTGCCAGTCTCTGTGGGAACTATGTAGCTACACAGGAAGTAGGACCATGACTTTCCCAGAGTCTTTCCTAGGCTCAGTGGCAACTGTTGCATCTCTGAGGCGGGGCTACGCTGACACTGGCCCTTGCCATCCCCAAGAAGGAATAGGAACCCTCCTTCAACCTGAAATGAATGAGTGAATAGTAATACTAATAGAAGCCATGGGCCTTCGCTGCCTGGTGGCCTACCACACAGTGGTACTCAAACTGAAGTGGACATCAGAATCACCTGTTAAGACAAATTTATGAGATTCACCCAGTCACCCCCAGTACTCAGTCTACATTTCTTACACTACTATTCATGTGCCTGGCATGACAGTGTTTGCAAAGCATTAATAGCAAACAAGCTAACCTTTAGGTCGACAGGGCATTTCAGGTGGCAAGAGAATAATGTCAGTAGACCCATCTGAGGTCCTCTTCAGAGGCAGCATCTCTGGGCTGGAATTCCTGATTTCTCCATCCTTCTTCCCCGTGGCCCCACCCCTACAGAATAGCAGGACATGCTAGACAGTAAAGAGAGTCCAGTCACACTCAAGGGGCAGGAACATTCCACCTCTCTAACCCAGAAGCCCCCACATCTTATGTTGAGCAACCAATCTGCCTCTGAATATTGAAGAGAATCCATTTGAGCCAACAATTTGAATATCAAAAGTGATGGATGTCTATACTCACTCATATGTTGAAATTTTACAGCTCTTCTTTCATCTAGGGTAAAAAGGAACAGTGTAGCAACAATATTTTCCCCTAAGAAATAAGTGCTTGATTTGCCATGACAAAAAAAATAAGTAAATAATAATGTGACCTAATATTCAAAGCACTTGAAGGCTGCTAGAAAAACCTAGGTTCCACTCTTAGACTTTCCATTTACTAGCTCTGCGGCTATTGCCTTGTATGTGAAATGGGTTACAAAAGTTTTCCTAATGTTGTTAGAAGATTAAATGAAATAACCCATAAGGAAACTCAGCAGAATCCTGGAGTACTATAGGTACTACTGTATACTATAGGTATATACAGTACATATATGTATGGATATATGGTATATATAGTATATTATAGGTAATTTTTCTCTTAGGACTAGAAAGTCATTCAAATATCAGCACCATGACTTAGGGAAAATTCTGTGCCTCAATTTTCCTACTGTTAGTAGAAAAGATCATTGTTCTACAAATATATGCTCCTTTACACTCTAACTCTGAGAGGAGTGCACTACCCTTGACATCGGGCTTAGCCATGTGACTTACTGGGGGAACATACTCCTCTTAGTCCATTTGGGTTGCTATGACAGAACTCCAGAGACTGAGAAGTTTATAAACAACAGAAATTTATTTCTCACAGCTCTGGAGGCTAGAAATCCAAGACCAAGGTACCAATATGGCCAGGTGCTGCTGGAAGCTATTGGCAGACTGCCGACTTCTCACTGTGCCCTCCCAAGGTGGAAACAGGTGAGGGATCTCTCTGTAGCCTCTTTTAAGAGCACACTGATCCCAAATGTGAGGATGGACCCCTCATAACTTAATCACCTCCCAAAAGCCCCAACTCCTTATACCATCACCTGAAGGATTAGGTTTCAACATATGGATTAGGGGGACCTCGGGGGACACAAACAGACCATAACATTCTCCAGCCCTTCGTTTGGACTTGGCCACATGACTTTCCCTGGTTACTAAGATGTTAGCAGAAGAGCTACGTACAGGGCTTGAAAAATGTTTAAGGAATTGGGTTTGTCCACTTACATTTTGCCATTCACTGTACGTACACCACAGCCAGCGCACTTGTCCAAGATACAGACTCAGACCCAACCAACCTGCAGCTTGTGGCCAAGCTCAGCTGAGCCCAGCTGAGGGGAGCAGAGCCACCCCACCAACCTTTAAACGTATTAGCAAGAATAAGCCATCCCTCTTTTAAACCACTGAGTTCTGCAGTAGTTTATTACACAAGAATAATTGATACATTCCCTGAAAAATTCATTTTATCACCTTAGATTAATCCTTCTGTTGGGGGTGAAATGAAGATGAGTGACTGGCAAAGGTAAAATCACATACCAATATGAAGGATGTATAAGCAAAGTATTGAACTGCTTGGTTTTGACATTTCACAATTTATATATGAAATTTCTGTTCTGTTTACATGTTCCCCCAAAATGTAGCACCTCTTGTTCTCTTTGTCCCTTGCTTTCCCTCTTGCTGTGTGTGCATGTATTGATCTTTCCGGAGGGTCCTCTATGCACTGAAATTTTTGATAAAATACTAAAGCATGGGAAACATTTGGTGTGTTCTTTTAAAAATAACTTCTCACACAACTACTCCATTTTCTCCCAGAGGAAGTGTTTCCCATGCACAATTTGCATTTTACAGAACAGTTGGTTGTGTGAGCCTTCTGTCTCTGCAATTGAATATAATTATGATAAAGCACAGGTAAATGGAGTTGCATTTTAAAGAGATTTCAAGGGGCTAGAAAACTTTAATATCCATTTCAAACATTGGAAACCTCAAAGAAGTTATTTAGAGGGATCTAGTTTGGTAGAATCAAATCCTACAATATGGAAAACTATGTTTTATATCAAAGCTATCATGTTTGATAAAGATGAAAGCTTTAAGCTGTGCTTATCGAATGCTAATGTGCAAACAAATTCTGCTTCAGCAGGTCTGAGGTGGGGGCAGTACATGATGCTGCAATTCTAACAGGTTCCCTGGTGATGTCCATGCTGCCAGCCACTCCTGAGCATCGAGGTTCCATGGAGTCCCTCAGAGGGCCACCTGCAGGATAGAGGCCAGTTACCCACAGCATACCCTGTTCATTAGCACCTCTTTTCTGACTACCCCTCCCTTCATTTACTCACATTCCCCCTCCCTCAGCATGTATCCTGGGGTCACTTCCCCAAGGAACTACTAAACAGAGTCTCCTTTGGGGAAAACCCAAACTAAGACATGCCCTGCAATGCATGTGCCTGTTTGCATATTTTTCCTGCACTGACCTGAAAACTTCTTCAGGAATTGGTTCTATTCATCCCACACAGAGCCCAGCACAGAGCAGGTGCTTGAAACAAATGTGGTTCATCTAGGATGGCCAAGGTGGTCCCAGCTCTAGGCTGTGTGGTTGCCCCATGCCCATGTGACTGAACTGAAAATTATGCACAACAGGGAGCAGTCACTCTCATGCCCATCCAGGGGTAGGAGTGAGCATCCTCACAACACTGAAGTATATGGGAGGGATCTCAACACCAACATGGAGGAGCAGGAGGCTTCCCCAAACCTTTGCTTCATTCTCATCCCTCTTCCAGAGACAGTAGGGAAATCCCACAGGGCAATAAACAGCCCAGGCATCTGCTCCCTTGAGTCTGAAAGAACAAGCCCTAGATGAGCATCTTGTGAGCCACAGATGCTCACAACTCGTGGGTCCCAATGAGATGCCAGTCAGTTTGGCTTAGTTTAGCTGGGCCTCTTCAAATAGTCTCCAGGCTGAGTAGGAGTTAACACAGAGTTCTTGGATGCAATCAATCAACCCTTCCTGCCATCACTGATAAGGTGGGAAAACTTTGAGATGCTCACTTGTTTCACTGACTTCTTTCAACAAAGCCTATGTGCCTAGCCATGACCCATCTTTTCTGAATGGATCCCTCTCCTTTATTCTTTCCCCACCCAAAGCCAGAACTTCAGGAACTTAACAGTTAAAGTAGTAGTCCAAAGTGGGGTGCAGATGACACATGGGTTGTAGAGATGGTCAGTGGAGGCAGGTGAAAGAAAATATTAGAAGTTCCATTTATACTTATTTTTTCTAGAAGTAAGTTTACCAGTATGAAATATATGATAGGTGAGAGTCCATGTAAATAACTTACAAATGAATATGCCCATTTTGAGCATGCATTGTTAGTTTTTACTAATAGGATATGCAGCCAAAAAGGTTTGGAGACCACCTACTAGTTGGAAAACCAGTACACTTCTGATGACTCAAATTTCCCCCTCCAGCTGTCCCCACCCGTGCCCTGTCAGGGATAGTGCTCTCAAGAGCTTACCCAGTGCTTGAAGGGCAGCTGAAAGCAAGGAAGAGGGAGGGAAGTCATCCCAAGGGCCCCAATCTATCATTTTGGCCTGGGATGGCTGTTGCTCCATCCCTACTCTCCTCCCCAGTCCAGGGAGAATGTCTTACCATCCAACTATCTTAACTGAACTTCTGAAAAACATCAGCTTATTTTTGTCCAGAAATAACCCAATGGGCAGCCTTGAGGTGGGGGGATTTCTAATCAAGTTTTCTTGTGGTCCTCTGAAGTGGACCCATGTTAAATCTCTGCTAGTAGAGGTAGAAGCCATGTAGCACTGGGAAGCAGATGAACCAGGCAACAGCCTCCCCTCTCTCCAGCTCTGCCTCCCTTGATTTATTGTACCCAGAGCCCTCCAGTCAGGTGGGCTCAGTTGTTCACAACCCAGCCAACCTGATAACCTCTGGGAAGTCTACTTGTGCCCGAAAAAAGGCACCAAACATCCACACATCTGTCATTTCTTAAAATCTTCCATGAGTCTGG